TGAGCGCACGGCTGGGCCGCCGCCCGCGCGCCGCGAGGAGCCCCGAGCAGCCTGGCCCCGGAGAGGTGGCCGAGCCCCCGCGTCCTGGCCCTGCCCCGGGCGATCGCTCTGAACCCAGGGGTAGGCTCCCGGCTGCCGCCGAGCCGATCAGTCCCTGAGGGTTTATGTTGTTTATTTGTAACCGACCGCGGGGAGCGCGCGCCTGCCCTGCCTCCCTGCTCACCGTGGCGCCGGGAGACCCTTCAGTGGCCACGGAAAATCAGGGAGACGGGCGCGTGCCGGCATCAGCACTGCTCCCAACACCGCCCGGGGCGCGCAGACGCGCCGCCTTTAAAGGTGTTGGCGAGACCCGCACGGGCCTGTGACCTCCGGGAGGCCCTGACGACCCTGGTTCTGCGTTAGGCAGAGCGATCGGCCTGATTCATGGCTCCCAACCGTCCTGCTGCTTCGCTCCCCGCTCCCCCTGGCTTTTTGAGCCAGGTCAAGGTGTGTAAGGTCAGCCAAGCCCCAGGAACAGCTCTGCTGCTCTGGTCCCAGGGTTTTATTTTTATCTGCCTCCCCGCCCCTCCTCTCCCAACAAGTTCATGTTTTGATGTCTAAGTGGAGCCTATACTTAGAAGAGGATTGTTACTTTTATGACCTGGTGTATTGAACCTATTCCAAAATTTTCAAACATGCTTTTTAAACATCTAGTTTACTTTAAACTCTTGGAATAGGTTGTGAGCATACATTTTGGGGGTCCTTACGTGACTCGTGTGGCCTCTAATTAGAGAAGGGACTGTGAAACTGGATCCCAGTTATGACTTGTATCTCTAGACCCTGTTCTATTCCTCCTGCTGAAACTGCTTCCCCGTATTTCTCTTTCGCCCCTCAGCTGAGCCCGAGCGTCAGATCCTCTGTGACACAGACCACCACCTTGAGAGCAAAGAACATGAATAAATGCCATTACAGCACCGTAAGGAGAGAGGAAGAAAATCAGATCCAATGAAGTGAAAAAATATACCTGACATCTCCATCTGGTGTCTAATAGACATCTCGGAATTAACATGGACAAACCAGGCCCCGGGTCACCTGCCCTAAATGTACCCCACCCACAGCCTTCCCCTTTCCAGTTAATGCCATCTACACCCTTCCAGTTGCCCAGCTGAAAAAACGTCGGAGTCTTTCTTGACTCTTTCCTTTCTCTGACACTCCACAGGGTCAATAATCCTACCTGCTCTGACCTTCAAAGTACTATATCTGGGATCTAACCTCCACCTACCACTTCTACTGCCATGACCCTGGTCTTAGTCAGCAGCAACTTTTGCCTGTACTTTGCAATAACCACCTACCTGGTCTCCCTCTTAAGGCGCTTGCCTCCAGCAGTATACTTCGAGTCTTTTGGGTCCAGCTCAAGTCACTCCTCTGCTAAAAAGTAAAAATAAAAAACCCATTGGCTCCCCATCTCATTTACGCTGAAAGCCAGAGTCCTTACCATGGCCTAAATTCCTGTGGACAGGGTCCCCACCACCCCTTCTCTCTCTGACCTACTAGTACTGCTACTACTACTACTCTATCCTTGGCTCGTTTTCCCAGCCCCTTGGCCTCCATGCTGTTTCTGCAACACAAGGAGCAAGCTCCGGTCTTATGCCCTTTCCATTTGCTGTGTGCTCTGCCGCCTGAATTATCTCCCCACTCCCCCCAGCCCACCAAAAACAAAACAAAACCTAGAACGTTGTTCCCTCACCTCCTTAATATCTGTATTCAAATGTCATTTTCCCTGTAACTTCACGTGCCTTAGCTCTCTCCCTTTTCTTACCACCACCTAACATATTATAATTTCACCTATTTGTTTTATTTATTGTTTGTCTCCCTCCACTGTAACGTATGCTGCTGAAGTCAATGATTTTTGTTCCCTTTTTTGCAGCTATTTCCAAAGACACAGTGTAAATGAATTAATAACCATAGCGTCACATTTTGTGTGTGAGAGATTGTTATATATATTATCTCACTTGGGGCGGGGGGGCAGCAGAGAGGCTGGGAGAGAAATCCTCTCTGAACCTGTTTTCTGTTCTATAATAAAGGAGTAAGAACTGCATGCCCCAAAGATTTGTAAGACTCTATTATGACATATGCAAAGTACCCTGCGTAGTGCTTGAACCATTATATGTACTCAACAAATGATAGTTGTTTTATTTTAATGTTTTTATTGATTTTTTTAGAGGGAGAGGATGGGAGAGGAATAGAAAGATAGAAACGTGGATGAGAGAGATACATCATTGGTCGGCCGCCTCCTGCACGCCCCCTACCAGGAATCAAGCCAGCAACCCGGGCATGTGCCCTAACCAGGAATCGAACCATGACCTCGTAGTTCTTGGGTTGATGCTCAACCACTGAGCCACACAGGCCGGGCAAGTCATAGTTATTTTAAAGGATCATTCTCATCCTATTCCTGTGAGGTTAGTGGAACAGTTATAATCCCGTTTACAGATGAGGAAACAGACTCAAATAAGCTACCTGACTTGCCCTCATTCCAGGCCTGCCTTTAAATTTGGAAGGGCCTGGGACAAGCTAAGAAATGGAGACCCATATACTCTATGATAAATACTTAAAGGTATGAATTAACTGGATCATGATGTTGCAGGGAATCCTGGCTTCTGGCCTGAAACTTGCACCCCATGTTCTTTCCATCTCAACTCCATCCCATACCACAAAAAGGCTCACACACATGAAAAACACCCAGCCTGCACATCATAACTACATCATATAACCCTCACAAAAGCTACTCCTTGGCGATTCCTCCTGCCGTGGCCCAGCCTTGGGAGATCAGGCCTCGAAGTGGCAGGACAGTAAGTTCCAGGGTTCAAGTGCTCAGAGAGTATGGAACTCCTTGTCCTGTGTGGAAGGGTAAAGCTAGAGCAAGGCTCTTCAAAGCCTGGGCAGTAGGCTGGAACCCCAGATCTCACAGCCAGAAAGTTAGGAATTCTAGATGCAAACCCAGCTCTTTTCTCCTGAATGCTCTACTGTGATTCTAAATTGCTCCAGTGACCTCAGGTAAGGCATAATAGTATGTCTTATCCACCAACAAAATGACTAGCTCACTTCTAAGCTATCATTTGACTTCAATTAAAGCTAATTTTCCCACTATAATCTACTTATCTGCATATGTCAATAATGCTAATCACCATTTAACATCTAGGACATCTGCTACATGGCATGCCTTGCTGTTTTTGTTTTATATATATTTTTATTGTTGACAGTACTACAGATGTCCCCCATTTCCCCCCCTTTACTCCTACCCACCCCCATCCCAGGCCTTCCCCACCCTATTGTCTGTGTCCACGGGCTATGCATATAAGGATATAAATTCTTTGGTTATCTCTTCTTGTCCTCACCCCACCCCCCTCCACACACACAAACACCCCGAGATATGTCCGTCTGCTCCATGCCCCCATGCCTCAGGTCTTGTTTTGTTGGTCAATTCATTTTGTTCATTAGAGTCCACACACAAATAAGTGAGGTCAGGTGACGTTTGTCTTTCTCTGACTGGCTTATTTCACTCAGCATAATGCTCTCCAGGTCCCTCCCTGCTGTCTCAAAGGGTAAGAGATCCTTCTTCTTTACAGCTGCATAGTATTCCATGCTATAAATGTCCCACAGCTTTTCTATCCACTCATCTACTGATGGGCACTTGGGCTGTTTCCAGATCTTAGCTATTGAAATAATGCTGCAGTGAACGTAGGGGTGTGTATATTCTTTCCCGTTGGTGCCTTGCTGTTTTATTACCATTTGAGCACCAACAGCGAGTGTGGTATAACACGGACAACACAATTAGACACAGAATTTGCCAATTAGTCTAAACTAAACGATGTCAACCAACCATAATCACAGTAAACTATCTACTGCACTGTATCCTAAAGGCGAGTTTTAAAATGAGAGTTTCTTTGTTCTGTCTCTGCAACCATCATATTATCTAGAAAGTTGTTAGAGGATAGATAAAACACAGGGTTTTAAGTCTAGAAATACATTTAAGTCCTGGCCTTATACTATTCTACTTGTAACTTAAAAAGCTTTGGTCTTTCCAACTGTAAAATCTAATACATTCCTAAATATGTCGTGTAAATTAGGTGCTTAGAGTCATCTTTAAAATCCAGTTAAAATAATTTTGTTTTAAATTCCTGTGAGTCCAACTATGACACAAGATTAGGGAGGGTTTGATATATCTTTACCTATCTGTATATCTATATAGAGAGGATCATTTTGCTAAAAACAAAACAGCCTGGCTGGGCATGGCTTAGCAGTTGAGCATCGACCTAGGATCCAGAAGATTGCAGTTCAATTCCTGGTCAGGGCACATGCCTGGGGAGTCAGGGGTGTGCAGGAGGCAGCCAATCAATGACTCTCGTCATTGATGTTTCTATCTCTCTCTCTCCCTCTCCCTTCCCTTCTCTGAAATCAATAAAGATATATTTAAAAACAAAACAAAACAAAACAAAAAAACACACCATACTGAGTGTCTACTATTCAGTCAATAAGTATTTATTATGTGCTGTGTGCCAAGTACTAATCTTGATGCTTGGAATTTTAAATAAGACAAACATGTTCCCTTCCCTGGCCTGTGGGAGCTTGTTCCACATGCCAGGCACTTGCTTGATTTACTCACCTCACCTAGGACAATGGCAAGGGTGATAGAAAGCATCCAGGAAGCCGCCCTGCTCTGCTAAGACAGGAACTGCCTCTGATGACCATGGTCTCGTTGTTACAACCCTCTGTAGACAAGTTCTAGAGTGGACAAAGTCGAGTTCTATTACCCTCCCCAAAAAACATTGTTTTCCATTGTTTTGCAGTAACCTCTACCCTTGTAGTCAAGTCAGTAAGAATCTCAGGAGAGTGGCTGTAGTTTAGACACCGTATTATTCTCAGTGAGCACACTCCGCTAGGAAATATTGCATTCACCTACAAATAGCATTCCAGAAAGTCCCTGGTGGAGAGTACAGTTACAGACACCCAGGGAGAGGTACAATGTGTTCATAGGACAGAGCTCATGGAACCAGTTAGGATTCAGTGTATCAAAAGCACAATTAGAATCAGACTTTTAGGTCTGATTTTACAGGAATCATAATAAATTCAGTTTTGAGGATGCTGCCATGGAAGTAAGAAGGACACTAATATAGATGTCATGTAAACGCTTAGGTATTTTAGAACTGGTTCTAAGGCCCTTTTTTTTTCTTCTCTAACTTGTCAAAATTGTTAACCTTGGTTCTGCCTTCAACATAAAATAAAATTAAATAAATAAATATTTAAACTAACAAATAAAACTGTTCCATCTAGTTACACTATTGTATCCCTCCCACAGACATAACTACTTTCTTTCATCGATTTATTCACATCTGAAATATTGGGCCAGTGGGAGAGAACCTTCTTCATTTCCTTACTGTGAGAAAGCTGGTGCTGACATTTCTAAAAGGAAATGCATTGTTAAACTTTTGATCCACCGTCAATTCCTTCTTTTGTTGCCTAGTGTTTGGCACTTATTTTTATGAATTGCCCTGTAAAACTGTAGTCCAGAATCAGTCGGCCAATTCAAAGGGGTTTAGGTAAGATATATAGACAATTTCTTTAAAACCTGAAAGGACTTCACTTTAAAACTTAGCAATGTAAATGCCACTATGCAGTACTTGATGCATAGATTTTAAAAACCCATACTGCATATCATAAATGCTCAAGTTAATCTAAAGATTGAAAAAAAAAAATCTTCAAACATTCGAAGTTAACCCAGTGAGGTAATTCTGTCACAATGGACCATTGTATAAAATCGTATCTGAGTTTCTCCAGTTATATTAAGGTCATTACATAAATACAACTGAAATTACATCCACAAGCAAAATGGTATGCAGTGCAGAATTTATAAATGTGTTCCCGCGAAGAAGAGCAGCCACAATTATTGCCAGCTCTGGTCTCCACGTGATCTTCAAGGGTAAATGCACTATGCTGTATACTACAGCTGTCTGCCATAGGAGTGTCAAAACCAGACAAGGTCACTTGATCGAAAAGGACTGTATTCTTGGCCAGCCGTGATTTTTTTAAATGCCAATATGAATAATCATTCTGAAGCCATGATTATTTAATATTTGTTAAATCCAAGACTAGTGCTAGGCAGCAGATGTACATAAACAGAGCGCCTATGCGTTGAGCTTACAAATCTAAATTAGGCAAAGGAAGTGAAGGGCAAACAAGGGCGTGGGAAACGCGCACTGAGGGCCTGTTTGGACAGCGAGGCTGTTTCGTTGTATTGTTATTTTGGTTTTAACTATCAGAAGGTCCATGATGTAACACAAAAATTTAAAGGAGGGGACTCAAAGGAGAAAAAGCACATTGCTTTCATGGGAGTTAAGGAAGGAAACCTTAAATATAAATTGACAAAACGTATCCGGTTCGAGACCTAAAGGAGGAAGGCACAAGGAAATGGCAAAAGAGAAACCTTGAACATTGCATGGGATGTGAACATTGCCCAGTAAAGATAACACAGGAGCCGAGGCTGGGAAGAAAGTAGAATGGCCTGAGCCCTCGAGAGGCATAACACAATTGGCCCTGGCCAGCTTTGGTGTTTTTCTTACACTAACATTTTACTTATCACATAACAAATATGACCAGTGCTGGTAAGACATTTAAAACAATTCCACCTTATGCTTATCTCACCTACGAGGAATGAGCCTGTGTCGTCATACTGTCTATAAGAATCCAAATATAATTAAATCACATTAAAGACCAAGGTAAACCCACAGTGCTCCACCCTGACCTGGCCAGGTGCCTCACGGGGAGGTCTGTTGACACTAAAGAAACAGAGCATAGAAGTGATTGGATTAACAACCTGATCACCTTGCTGGGGGGAGGGGGGGGTGTAATGAGCTTTATAAGGGCGTAGTGGAATGTATGACAGAAGTGATAGAGTGGAAATCCTCAGAATCTACTGTCAGACAGCCCTGGATTTGAAAGCCTATGCTGATATACACGAGCTTTGGGACCTTTAGGACAGAAGTTAACATCTCTGAGCCTTCGTTTCCTTCCTTCTAAAATGTCGTTAGTAATATCTTCCAGATTAATAAT